AGCAAGTCTTCTGAATTTAAAATTAGAGGTGTGGACCTGTGTGAATATCGTACACATTGGGAATGCATATTTTGTAGTAACTTGCCATTACTTGAGCAAAAAGTCAACGCCGCCCACCGTTATGCTGGACGTTTTTTAAGTTTTCTTCAACACACACAGCTAAGCACATTAAAGAGGCCAGGAATGTTTTGCTGGAGTCATGGGGAATAAGAGATAAGACTCAGAACAGACCATAGGTACCATGGTTTCCACAAAAATATTAAGCAGCACAACTGTTTTAACATTGATAATAATAAGAAATGTTTCTTGAGCATCAAATCAGCATACAATAATAATTGTTGAAGGCTGATGTGACACTGAAGACTGAAGTAATGGCCGAAGAGTTTTCATTCAGTTTTGCCAACACAGGAATAAATTATATTTTTAAATACACTTAAATAGAAAACAGTTATTTTAAATTGTAATAATAATATTTCACAGTATTACTATAGTGAAAGTGACTTTGGGGTGCTATTTGTCCCTGAAACAGTTGTTTTAGAGCACACAAACACACACATAGACTCACCCATGCTCTTCCTCAACTTGAATCCCCACTGACTGAAATTTGTACTGGTCCTCCAGTTCCTGGTCCTCAGGCCCATCCACCTGTTTAAACACATTACACAGTAAACCAGCCACCTCCACACTCATTTGAAGAATCATCTACCTCAGGTAGAAGGAAACAAATCTCCAACTCAACCTGTGTGGGTTTGTATACAGAAATAAAAAGACCAGCTTGTATAAGACTGAACTTGTATGAATATATATTTTAAGAATCTTGTGTACAAACATCTGATAAATACATTAAAGTGGATATTACAACTAAATGGTGTTCTAATAGCCAGCAGGAACATCTCAGCAGTGTTGAGAAGAATAAACAATGAAAACATCGCTGAATCTCACTCACCTGGATGCCAATAGAAAGGCACCTGCTCTTCCTGAGCACATCCCTGCGGACGTCTTCCAGGGCTGGTATGGGGATGGGGACGGGGACGGGCACAGGCATGGGCATGGGCAGCGGAGAGGGGGGTGTAGTGCTGATGGTGATGGTGCTGTTGCTGACGTGCTGACTGGCAGGGCCGTGGATCTGAGCATTGGCTGCCTCGATGGCTGCCGTCAGCGCTTTCATGCTGTCAATGCTCTCAGTGGAATTGCTCAGGCCAGAGTGGAGGACGGGCTCGCACCGTGTCCCGGGACCGTCCATGTAAGCGTCCTGCGCAGACTCAGTGCTGCTCTGGGCCGTGATGGAGATGAAGGGCTTGGTGGAGGTGCGATGCTTCCAACATGACTCTGTGTGCTAATCTTTTGCCTTTGCCACCACCTTGAATCTGGCAGTAAAAAAAGCCCTTTCACAAACCATGGATTTGCATGAGATTTGTCACGCGAACTTTTTTCAGGTCAAGCCCAAATGCCACACAGATACGGTCTGTGATCCAGCAACAGATGGGACCCAAGATGGAACTGCAAATTCTGCATGTTTCCAGTGTGAAAGCTGCTTTACCATCTCTTTACTAGACCACTGCCATGTGCTAAACCTGCAATATTCAATAATTTACAGTCTCATAGATATTGAGATAAATACAAATACAGTAATGACCTCAAACCAAGCAGTAATGGCACAAAATAATTATAATTATAAAATAAATGCAATTTAATATGAGAATTATTTCCTTAAAACAAATGGATCCTCCCAAAATTCCAAATTATAACAAATGTCCTACTTTAGTCTGATTGTTTATTTATAACTTCTAATATGTCATTTCAAATTAATATAAGCAAATAAAACATCACATAGAAAGACGTAAAACAATTAATAGTGATAATAATAAGAGTGGTAATAATAATTAATAGTTACTTAAATAATATATAAAAAATACAATTTGAAAGTAATTAAACAATTATATATACGTATTCACTTGCGACATATTTGTGTACAATATCCACATTTATGATCCTTTCACAATATTATTTGACAAGCAGGGGCCACCATGCTATAATATTTATCGCATTCATTTGAATTTTATTTTAAGCTTCTGACAGAGAGCATGATTAAATATTCACTTATTAACATACTTATGGAAGAATCCCATTATATCAGTGGGCCATCTGTTGACATTGAAAGTGTTATCTTGAAGTGCTACTGCTTGACACAGTGCTGGTGGAGCATGGACTCCTTTCCTCCAGCACTTCACTTCAAAGAGCGAAACAACCCCTCACATCCCAGACTAAACATGAAATCACTAATCGATGGTTGCATGAAGCTGCAGATAGAGGTGTGTGTTGTGAGATAAACAGTGAGAGAGTCTGTGTGAGCAAGGCATGGATTTTCCTTATTATTTATTCTACGAAACATCCACAAGGGGACAATCTAGAGCGAGACAGAGACCAGCTGTTAATGTCCTCTCTGATTTCATTTCCTCATTCTCATACTCATACTCTTTGATTTTTCTCTCCCTACATATTCCCTGACTTCTTTCTGTTCTCTCTGTTGAGAATGACTTTTTTTGTACTGTTTTTATGTCCCAAAATGCGTGTATAAAATAAAATAATTTATTTTAAACTACGGGGCTATTGAATGCTTGAATCTGATTGGCTGATGAACGTTCTAAGGTGTGCAGTTATTTTCAGGGAAACGCATGGCTAAAGTAGTTCCAGGCAGGTCTTGACCTCATTACATACCCATATCACTTCGCCAAATGATTTCAGTTATTTCAAAGGTCCTTACAGCCTACAACAGCAAAAGAACCAAATCCCACAAATAGTGCAGGGCTGGTTCTAGACATTAGGAGGCCCTCGGCAAAATTCATGTTGGAGGCCCCCCACCCCCAATAAAAAGCACTTGAAACAAATATGATCCCTAACCTTTTTGTTTATACAACATTTAATTTTAAATTTTGCATATTTTTACTTATGCAGTACAAACGTTTGGACACCTGACTATTTTTAATGTTTTTGAATAAAGTCTCTTATGCACATCAAGCCTGGATTTATTTGATCAAAAATACAGAAAACAAAAACAATAATATTGTAAAATATTATTACAATTTAAAATAATGGTTTTCTATTTTACTATACTTTAAATATATTTCTGTGATCAAAGGTGAATTTTCAGCATCATTACTCCAGTCTTCAGTGTCACACGTTCCTACATAAATCATTCTAATATGCTGAATTATTATCAATAAATGTTTATTTTATAACCTGTGATACTTTTTTCAGGATTT